GGGATGGGGGAGTGAGCCTTCTCCAGCCCTCCCCCCCCAGACCACCAGGGCAGGGATAGCACCTTTGGGACACAGCAGGTCACCCAAGCATGGGGTACCCCCTGCCCCATCCACAGGGGGCTGCTGCTGGGGGTAGCAGAGAGGCTCTGGGGTCTCCTTACCCCCGGCAAAAGCCCAGCAAGGACCTGGTGGATGACAGCACCATGCCCATGCAGCAGGGATGCGGTCACCCGTAGGGATGCCTTGCACAGCCCCGGCATGCAGGGAGCAAGGAAAGAAATCCTTGCCCTAAGAGACAAGTAATATTTTCTTTTATTTAAGAAAATAAGAGGAATTCCCCCCTTGAGTCCTGGGGCAAGCTGGGGCAGCACCCGCACCGGGCACAGTGCTGGGGCAGGCCCTCACGGTAAGGGGACAGGGCACGAGCAGAGGTTTGCTGCCAGAATGCTTGCCGGCCCGCCCCCCCCGCCGAGGAGCAGCAAGGTCTGTCCCCACGCAGGGTCCAAGCCCAGAGTCTGCCAGGGGACAAGGACACCCTGAGTGGGAGGAGAGGTCCAGAGGCAGGGAGCAGGTCCCAACGTGTCCCCATGCCACGCAAAGCTGGCAAGGGGACGCTGTGCGTGACTGATGGCAAGGAGGGGCAGACTCCCAGCTGGAGCAGGGCTGGGGGGCCCAGGCAGGCACAGGGAGAAGGCCCCCGAGGGTTTGGTCCTTGCCAGAGCCCCAGCTCCCATCTCCTGCCCTGCAGAGTCTCCTGGGGCACCCCATCCTTGCCAGAGGGTCCGTGAATCCAGCAGCAGCATCTGTCCAGCCTCCAGGGATGAGTGCAGGGGACTCTGCATCCCCCCCACTGTCACAGCAGCAGGCACAGATGTCCCCCAGTGCAGCTGGGGATGGAGAGCAGGGCCAGGCTGGCCCTGCCCTGTGTGCAGGCAGCAGGGAGGCACAGCGCAGCACGAAGGCACTTGGGCTTTGCACAGCCGAGTGTCGTTTGCTGCTCCTGGGGCACCTTGCCAGGAGCAGGGTTGGCAGCGTGCCCTGGGGCACCGGCCACATCCAGCCCTGCCCCAGCCCCAGCTCACAACGCACGCAGCCGCCGCTCCTGGTTCAGCTTCTGGAAAAAGGTCTTGCCAAATTCGTAGGTGCTGATCATGATGGCGCAGGCGGGTGCCACCTTAATGACTCGGGGCAGGAAGCCTGCAAGGACAACCCCGTTAGCCCCTTGGTGACACCAGGCACCAGTAAACCCCATCCTGGGCGGGGGGGCACAGCCTTACCTGCAAAGAGCCCCCGGGTGCCAGATTCAGCATGGATGCGCCGCATGAGTAGCCAGGTGGAGGAAGGCTTGGAGGCTGTGCCTGTGGGGAGAGGGGAGCGGGTGAGGGTCCAGGGATGCCCACATACCACCAGGGAGTCCTCGTTGCCCCCAGGCATCCACCCACAGCCTGGCCCCTCACCTGGGTGCACCTCGCTGTCCCCCAGCTCTATCTGCCGCTGGGTCTTCACCACGTCGAAGGGCAGCGTCAGCACCGCAGCCACCTGCAGGGCCAGCAGCCGGGTGTGAGCTGGGACCTCACCATCCCTGCCCAACTGCCGGCTCTGCCGTCACCTCCTGGCACTGTCCCAGCCCCATCCCCTGCTCCCCATGGGGGCCATTCCCCCCATGCACAGCTGAGTGAGCCCCTGCACAGCGCAGACCGCAGGGCCCCAAACTCACCGTCCCGGAGATGGCCCCAGATGCGAAGCTGATCATGAACGTGGCCTCATCGAGCCGGGCCTGTCCGCAGAGCCATTCCCTCACCAGCTCGTAGTTAAACCAGTAGAGAGCTGGGCGGAGATGGGAAACACCAGTGCTGCGAGGAGGCACCCCAGGGACGCCAACCTCCCCGCTCCCCACATGCAGGGCTGCCCTGCCCTGTGCTTGTCCCCCCATCTCCCGGTGCTCATCCTGTTCCCCTGCAGCCATACCCGAGAAGGGGACGTCTCGCAGCACAGTGGGTCCCCAGCCCCTCCAGAGGGACAGCCAGCCGTCCTGAGCCACTGCCGACTGGATGCAGATGCTCAGCTCCCGGTAGCTGAGCTGCCGGGACTGCATCTTGGTGCGGATGAGCTCCAAGGGGCTGATGACCGTCACGGCACCCACTGCAATGGAGGGGACATCAGACATCAGCCCCATCCGCTCCGGCAGCCGTCCCAGAGCCACCAGAGCGCCCTGCCAGGAGAGCCAGGTGCCGAACATGGGCACCAACAGCCAAGAGACCTGCTCTGCTCTCCTGCGAGGACACAGGGCGGGCACAGGGGGACCCCTGGAGAGGAGGGGTACTCACGCCTGGCAAGGGCCCCGGCCAGCAAGGGGATGTGGTGCCCCCGGCTTCCCGTCCGAGCGTGCAGGTAGTCCCGGAGCTGGTCGTAGGTGGTGAAATAAATGACAGTGGCTGGCAGAGCCAGGACCCTGCCAAGGAGGAATGGTGTGAGGGGCATGCGTGCCCTCCCTGGGAGCTGGCAGGAGGCTCGGGGCAGATGCCTGTGCACCCGGGCAGGTGTTTGCACCCAGATTCCACCCCCCACCCCCAGGCAGGGTCCAAACTCACAGGGTCGGGGGCAAGCCGCTCCACAGAGACCTGATGCCCTCGTAGCGCGTGATCTTCATGAAGGCATCCTGGGGAGAGAGCAGAGTGCAGGGAGAGGGGCAAGCACCCCACCAGCAAACACCCTGACCCCCTCCCTGGGACAGGGAGACCTCTGCCCACCCTGCCTGCACCTGCAGCCCCTACCAGCGTGCCGGTGAAGCGGGTGGGGGCCTTGTACCAGGCGGTGCAGCCGTTGCCATTCTGGCAGACGTACAGATGGTCCATGAGCCCATTGCAGTACAGGAAACACTTCCCTGGGGTGGGAGGCAACACCATCGCTGTTAGACAGGGGACCCTTCCCCTCTGCCCAGCCCATTTGATCCCCAAAACCATCATCTCTCCGGGAGTGAGCCAAACCCTCAATGTCTGAGGCCAGTGAGGGAGCAGCCCCAGACCAAGGCCAGGAGAGGGACAACCCTCCAGCAAGGGTCTGACCCTGGCCAGACCCATGGGGTAGGGGGCATCTGGCCACACCATAAGGACAGAGGCATGGTACGAGCTATTGCTGGCAGCAGGAGAGGTTTACTTGGTGTCAGTTCTGCTGCCCTGGCATAGCAGGGGTGCCACCGCAGGGAGCCAGCATGGTTCCCCTTCCGCACTCTCCATGGGGCCAGGGCACCAGGCGCAGGGACACCAGGCTGCAAGCGGGGCGGCAGAGATCCAAGGAGACTTTGATGTAGCAACAAGGCAGGGTGACAAGTCAGGGCAAGGACAGGGGGACTGCAGACAGCCAGGCCTGTTGCACAACAGACCCCTAGCAGACCCCCTGGGCAAGGACCCCGCAGGGACATTGCACGGCCAGCCCCAAAGCAGGGCTGCAGGAACAGCTGCGGGGCTGGGGACGATTGCAGCCCCCACACCAGAGCGGGACATCCTCCCAGCCAGAGGAGCCTAAGCCACCACCAGCAGGGAAGAAAACCAGGGTCAAGGCTTGGGAAAGCAAAGCTGCTGTCGGCGCGACCTGCCCAGGGTCCCGGGCGTACTCACATGTGGCCTGCTGAGTGCCCCAGGGCACAGACTGCACTGGCAACGCTGAAACACACAACAGGGACATGCTGAGCGATGACACGGGGGATGTGCCACCCCTCTGGGCTGGGGCACGCAGGTGTTCCACAGCTCTGAGCTGGGCAGCGGGAGAGCTCTGTGGGTGAATGGGCTGGATGCCCCCACAGCCACTTTCCAAGCAGTCCCTACTGTCACCAAACCAGTCCCTTGGGACCGGGACCAGCCCCAGCCTGCAGCCCCTGCAGGGAGGGGGACAGATGGGGGGCAGAGCCCACAGGGTCTCTCCTGCCCAGTGGGGGGCTGTGGGGAGCAGCGCGGAGATGGACACAAAGGCAGCAAGGAAAAGAGCAAGGCAGCTGGAGCAGGCTGAGCCCTTCCACCCCACTCCTGGGCGGGCAGGGGGCTGCCAGGCACAGCACTGACCCCGCTTGGCGTCAGCATGGGGCCGTGAACGGGGAAGGATGGAGCCAAGCACCAGAGCCCGGCTCCCCCAGCAGGGCCCCCTGAGCCCGTCAGGACGAGGGGCCCATGGTAACCTGCCACCTCGCGATGGCCCCACGCTCACGACTGAGAAATCCCCCCCCACCGGCTCTGCCAGCCGAGACATCCACGTGGGCTGCTCGCGGCCTGACGGGGGGGCTGGCCGGAGACCCCTGCGCTGCCCCAGGCAGGATTACCTTTGGAGAAGGGGGTCCTCTGGGCCTGCAGCCGGATCTTCACCACGTCCAGCGGTGTCACTGAAATGACACGATCCTTTAGCCACCCTGCACTGCGCCAGCCCCCGGTGCCCACCCGCTCCCCACGGTCCTCACCAAAGAGGGAGGTCAGGATGGCCCCCGTCCCCGAGGCCAGCATCTGCTGCAGCGGCGTGATGCCCCCACCGGGGCTCGGTGGTGTCTTCTCTGCCATGGCGCTGGCCCCCTGCAACACACAGTGGGGGGGATGCTGGAGGCTAAGGATGCTCACGGGGGGGTCCCTGCCCGTGGACGAGCGACGGCTCCCTGGGGAGTCTCCCCAGCATCCCTTCTCCGCTGGTGCGAGGACAGGCGTCACACCTCCGGCCGTGCTATCGGCATGGCACAGGGCAGGCGCAGCCACTCCCGTAATCGTGCTGTCCCTGGGGGGACAGGGACGGCTCCTGGGGCTGGCCCAGCCCCGATAACACCCCCTGGCCCCACCGCTGGCAGCGGGCCCAGCCTCGCTCGAGAGGTGGAGATGGTCCAGGCCACCCTTCTGTGTCCTTGGGGAGGGAGGATTTGTCCCCTCCCTCCACTTGGAAAATTAAGGAACAGCCAAGGAGCAAAGTCCAAAGACCAGACGTGCTGCAAGAGCTTCCCCCAGCCTCAGATGAGCAGGCAGCAGCCCAACGCAGCCATGGAGGGACACCTGGGAGGGAGGGGGATCCCCCCTTCACAAGGGGTGCAAGCTTGCAACAAGTGCCCCAAAAAGCATTCACGAGTCCAAAACCTTCTGCACGCCTCCCCCACCCTTGAGGCCTGGCAGGGCTGCGGCCCCCAGGGCCGGTGCCTCTGCCCTCGGGAAGCGGGCGATATCGCACCCTTCCTGCAGGAGGAGGACGTGGAGAAGCCAGCCCCAGTGTGCTGTGCATGCTCAGGACCAGCTGCTCCCCCTCGCCGCAGCCCAGGGATGGTCCTGGTGCCAGGATGGGGCCATGGCGGGAGGGCTTCCAGGCTTTGGGAACCCATTTTTTTTTTTTTTTTTTAAAGGCAGGGAATGCAGCAAAAAAAAAAAAAAAAAACCAAACCACCCTTCGCCATCTGACTCAGCAGTTTCACAAGGTCAGAGCAGCCATAAATCTCCTGATTACAGGCTTGGGACTCATTAGGTGCCCAAGGCTGTAAGCACGGGTGGGTCTATCCCAGAGCCACACATGCCACCCCACCATGAGAGCTGGGTGCTGCCTGCAGGGTGGGCACGGGTCTCATCGTGCCCGTCACGGGACAGTGGCGAGGTGGTGCAGTGCCCTGGCACACTCCCCGCAGACCACGCGGCAAAGCCACGGTTGCAAAACTGCGCTGCAGGCAGGGCACCGGCCCCAGCGCCGGATCCTTCCCTCCGATCCCGCCCTTCACGTAAACCCTTACGCAAGCAGGAGGAAAATCTCTCGCTCACAGCACTGCAACACCTGCATGGCTTAAACCGGGCTGTTTATACCTGCCACAGCACGGCCCTCTCCCTTTCTGCAGGGGGAGCCGAGCACCTCCAGGGCACCGGCGAGGGCTTCCCGGCCGCATCTGAGCTCCCTTCTCAGCTGGGATCTGCTCCCTTTTCCACCCAGGAAAAACCAAGCTCCTGAAACCATGACCCAGAGCCCACAGCTTGGTCTGGAGCACTGGTGGGTCTGGGTACCTTGCTGTGATGCTGGGTGCAAAGAGGGGGAAAAACGCAAATATGTGCTCAGATGATGGAGGCAAGAAACGCCAGGAGCTCAGCACCCTCTTCCCGCGCAGGAAGGGCCCAGCTGGGTGTTCGAGGCCTGAGCGAGAGGGAACGCCGATGGAAATCCTGCGGGCAGACCGCTCCGGTGCTTCCCAGCACGTGGGCAGCTCCAGCCTGGGGGTGCAAAGCTGTCACCCCCCACCTTGTCCCTGCAAGTGCCCAAACAGCACCAGGGGCCTCATCCTGCTCGGGCGCATGCCCACCTACGCTGCCCTGGCCCGGGCAGGGCCTGGGTGCTGCCTGAGCAGGCAGGGACAGCTTCCAGCACTGCGGGGGAGAGGGCTCGAATGTGGGACCCCCACGGGTGGGCCGGGGGCAAACCTCCCTCCCTGGGAGCCCAGGGCCGAGTGCTGCGCTGTCCCCTGGGGCATGCGGGCACCCAGCCTGGCCTGCTGCCCCGGGGAGCCCCCCACGGTCAGAGACAGGCCCCCC